AAATTGTTACATGGGCATAAGGTGAGAGTTTACAGATTGCAGAGAAAGACTAAAGGTTGTGCTCATTTTAGTTCTCATGTCCAGTCAAAGAAAGGAGCTATTTCAAATGTGAGTGATCTCATCATCATGAGAAAGTTGAAACACCACTGCACATGATGGGTAGGAGACCACATTAAGCATTAGATGACACACTGTTGCAGTCCTGATGTTTTTAGTTAGTTTGTAATTGTAACTGGGGAAGAGGAAAGGCATTTAGTCCAGTATGAACTTAGAAACCAAGAGAGCAGAAGTCTCCAGATATGATCTTGGCAGCTGTATTAGCTTCTTTTCCTGATGCTGTAATAAAATAATCAGACAGAATCTCTTATGGAGCAGAGGATTTATTCAAGTGCTGTCCTTCAATTTGGAGAGACATTAAGGCAACAGGAATTTGAAGTGGCATTTCATATGACGTTCACAGTACAGAAACACAGAATGGGGATGAGCTATCAGCTACTTTCTTTACATTATACCATCCAGAATACTTACGTGAGGAGTGATCTTCCCCATAGTTAACTTGGGTCTCCCCAAGTCAATTAACCCAAGGCATGCTCAGAGGCTAAGTCATTCGTCATTAGATATCCCTAAAGCTCATCGCCTAGGCAGCTCAAGAACTCATCAAGTTGACAGTTAACATTAAACATCACAGTGGCTCTTCAAGGCAAGTAATCCAGAAGAGCAGATATCTGGCCACTGGCACATCCATGTTACTTTCTCTAGCAATGTTCATGAACCACACAGAGTAACCAGAATAAAGAGAAGCTGGTGGGTGGGATGGATTCTATGACACTGCACCCCAGTACTTTAAAGCCTAAAATTTCCTCATTCTTACGCTTGTGTGAGCCTACAGGACAGGGAGCTCAAACTGTACATACTGCCCTCTAGATCAGATCATTGCCATCAGCTGTAGATACTACTTCTTCTAGACATGTCTGTCCTTTCTGCATCCATTCCTCCTTCCCTGAGGAGCTACCAGCAGTGACAGCTGAGAGCTCTGCAAAGATCCAGACCCTTGGGCTACAACAGAGGAAGAACTGTGGTCTCACACGTGCTCTGCATTGTCCTCACGTGTCAAATGAAATGGAGTTCACTGAGAATAAGTCTTAGCTCACGTGTTTCTACTCTGTCATCCTTTCTTCAGTAAATTGTTAGTTTCATCCTTGTAAGTGATTGTACAAGAATTGCTGTCTCAGGTTGCTCTTTGAAAAATTACAGCTTACTCTTGTGCAACTTCCCTGTAAATGGATGTCAGGGTTGTATTCTCTCACTCCCAGAACTCTTTTAGCTATTATTATTATTATTATTATTATTATTATTATTATTATTATTCCATTGACTACTTGAGGCCAGGCATCCCTAAAAACAGTGTCCAAACACATGTTCAGCCTTTGCCACAACATTCACGGAACTTGATGATCAAACTTTATTGCTGCCGTCACCACCATACACATTGACCACAGGGTATGGATAATTCAAATTCTTTGTTAACAGGAAGTTTCCTCCCTGCTGACTGTCTTCCATAGCACTGCAATACGTAATGCAGGCTGCTTTGGAGAAACAGTCATCAGAAGTCACCCTACAAATCTTGACCAAGGCTGCAAGATGTACCCCATGTATAGTAGTTGCATGATTTTAATGGATATAATCAACTGCTTTCTGATCGGAGTTACACCTGATCCGCATGGGGAAACACACGCCTGATACTACAAGTATGGACAAGAATCCATGGTTAGGGATCTCACAGGGAAGAAAGAATCTAGCACTATTATTCTGCTAAATATACATGGTGTCGAACTGCCATGTAAATTGTTATCTCCGTGTTCACAGATTAGGGCAGCTCCCGGCTCTCATCAGAGAAGAGCCTTTGTGAAGTTAACAGTGCTCAACACAGAAACGTTGAACTGGTCAAAGTGCAGAGAATACTGAGTGTGGAGTGTTTCCCTACACTCCTCAAGGAGACAGACTATCGTTAAAGGGAGAGGGTCATGAAAGTGTAGATCAAGCTGGTCAAAATTCTTGCATGGTGTGGGAAATGCTTCCCAAGACCCCAACTTCAAACTGAAGAGCCATGGACCGTTGAGGGCTTCTGGGCCCTGAAGAGTCAGTTTTCTGGGGCTCCTAGGAGGTCAACAACACTTCAGTGGGTAGTTCCATACTCAGGGGTATATAGGCAGCATGATGGAGTCAAGAGTTATTTTAAAACAACATAAAAAGACACACAGTTGTGGGGAAGGCAGGTAGGGAAGTAAAGATTGATCTAGGAGGAGTTGGGGGAGGAGTGGCAGGAATATATGATCAAAACATGCTATATGAAATTATCTAGGATTTAAGAAAAGTATTTTAGATATCAATACAATAGCAAAAGACTTAAAATGGCATAGTTTCTATTTACATATTAAAAGTTTATGCAATATGTATAAGTGCATATACATATATAATCAAGCATAATATAATATATAGTATAAAATGCTGTTGCTTTTTTGTTGTTGTTCAACATTGCTTTGGTTAATTGAAATATTTTACAAAAGTGTTTCCATATGAATTTTAGGTTTCTCTTATTTCCTACTTCTATGAAGAATCTCAGTAAACTTTTCTGGTTATTGCAGTTATTGTAGATGGATTTAGCTGATGGGGCCATTTTCAAAACATTAATCATGCCTATGTATAATCACTTGTAAATCTATCCAACTTCTGATGTATTTTTTGTTATGTTTCTTCAGGATTTCATACTTTTATTGTGAAGTTTTTCCAAACATTGGTTATGTGTTAGATGTTTTTGTTTTTTTTTTTTGGGGGGGTGGGGGGAGAGTACTGTGGATGGCATTTTTCTCATCATATCTATTGTTGTATATATCTCTGTACCCAGCCTCAAATTATGTTTTGGAATGCAACCCAATATATTATTTGAGTGGGAAATGTCCCCAGAGGGTTATGGTTTAAACACTTGATCTCCAGCTGGCAGGGCTATTCTAGGTGTGCTATCAAATTATCCTACTTAACCAAGGAGTCTAATTTTTGCTTTAGGAGCAGAAGCTAAATTAATACATAGAAGCCTCCTATAAACTCTTTCTGTGCAATGATGCTATCTGTTGCCAGATTTTTTTTCTTATACCACAGCTCTATGTAAATATTCTAAGAATTAATAGGCACTAGACATTCATAAATCTGTAGGCAGGAACTTAATTTTTAAATTAGTTTTACTCTTTTCGAATGAGTTTTTTTAAAGCTTTATATTTATTGTTTGCTAACATTTTCCCTTATAATTAAGGGCAGTCTGAGAACATTTTGCAGAAATGCAAGTTCTGACAAGAGAACCTACACAATATTTTTCAGATGTTAAAATGTTACCTACAGGACAAGCAGAACAGACTTCAGATGAGCCTAACCTAAGAACCTTCCCTTGTATACCTCTTAGTGGCTTAAAGGTTTACTGACACTAACTCCTTGACATCTGTCACTTATGCCCCTCCCATTATGGAACCAACTGGGACAAATCTGACCCTTAGCAACAAGTGGCAGTAGAGAGCAAACCTCCAGATGACTTTACAGAGTCGGGGGTAGAGGGTGACGTAATAAAAGGGAAGGGCACATGTTTATTCAAGGGGAAGGGGAAAAAGAGCATCACTCACCCACCGGCCCACTGCTTGAGTGTTCCTAGTAGAATACTTAAATGCTCTCCCCCTTAAGCCTCCTCTTTGTCAGAGAAAATCATCCAGAAGCGAGTTGCCTGTGCATGGTCTATGGAACCATCTTTCTGTATCGGGAGGAGAAGGCAGAGGGAGCAGAGTTGGCATACTAGAAATCACCTGCTCTAGTTCCTTTGCTTTATAGAGATGAGCTAACTAGAAGTTTGGAGGTGGGGAACAACCATTTGAGAAAGAGAAACAAAGAAACGTGGCGTTTTCATATTTGCTCTAATGCAAACATTTTTAATTTATTTAACATGTAAGAAAATCTCCATTTTTAAAAATATGG